TTGACCTCAATCCCTCTTCGGGACACCATGAAACCTAGAAATTTGCCGGACTCCACCCCGAAAATGCATTTGGCTGGATTTAACCGCATCCTGTTCTTTCTGAGGTTGTTAAAGGTTTCGTCGAGGTCAGCGAGATGGTCTTCTGCTTTGAGGCTCTTTACCACAATGTCATCGACATACACTTCCAGATTTTTGCCAATCTGAGCGTGGAAGAAAATGGTCACCATTTTCTGATAAGTAGCACCTGCATTCTTCAAGCCAAACGGCATCATGACATAACAAGAAATTTCATCGCCAACATAGAACGCAGTTTTCTCTTCGTCTTCCGGAGCCATTAGCACCTGGTGATACCCCGAGTATGCGTCCAAGAGGCTTAACCTCTCATTGCCTGAAGCCGCTTCAACTAGTTTGTCAATGCTCGGCATTGGATAGCAATCCTTGGGGCAGGCGTTGTTAAGATTTGTGTAATCAATACACATTCGCCATTTGCCATTGGCTTTCTTTACTAGAACTAGGTTAGCCACCCATTCACAGTAATCAACCTTCTGGACAAAACCAGCGTGTAGGAGTTTCTCTACCTCTTCTTTAATAGCCTGTAGCCGCTCCCCCCCGAAGAGACGCCGCTTCTGGGCCACTGGCTTCTTTAATGGGTTGGTACTGAGCTTGTGTTGACAAACTGAAGTTGGAATTCCTGGCATATCGGCCGAAGTCCATGCAAATACATCATTGTTAGCTCGGAGAAAAGCTATCAGTTCTGCTCTCTCCTCCGGGTTCAATCTAGTTCCGATCTGCGTCTTTCGGCTCGGATCTCTGTCATCAACGAGCACTTCTTCAACATCTTTGACTGGGGCAGCTCTAGTTTCATCTTCCGGTCGATTATCTACGATCTCAACACCCATGACCTGCTGATTATCATGAATTTGCTGGGGAGTGACCTCGGGTGTCTTATCTTTGCCCTTCGTTGGTTGTGTTACCGAGGTGATATAACAGTGTCTGGCCACCTCCTGGTTTCCTCGCAATGTTGCGATTCCCATAGGAGTGGGGAACTTCATGCAGAGGTGAGATTGGGAAACCACAGCTCGGATTTCGGTCAATGTGGGTCGGCCAATAACAATATTAAAAGAAGAGGCCATCTTGACGACAAGGAACCGGACTAAAGGGGCGACATAGGTCCGACCACTTCCAAAAGCCACATGGAGGGTAAGAACTCCTTCTACCAGAACAGGTTGGTTGTTGAAACCATAGATGGGACCATCATACTTCTGCAACAATGCTGGATCCAGTCCCAGACTCTCGAAACA